GCCCCTGCTCACATAGCCCTGTCTGTACGACAATTCTTGACCAATAATGGTATGACCCCTGTTCCTCACCCTCCATACTCACCCGACCTTGCCCCGTGCGACTTTTTTTTGTTTCCTCGAATGAAACAGACATGAAAGGAAAAAACGACGGAGGCGCTGTCAAGCATCTCAGAAGATGAATTTAGACAATGTTTTGAAAAATGGAATAAAAGACTAGACAAGTATAAGTGGAGAGTACTTTGAAGGGGATTGAAGGTTTGTGCTTAAAATTTGAATAAATAAGTTAAAAAAAATAAGTTCGGTTTCTTTTGGGTACCCCCTCGTATAACAGTAGACACAGAATCTCTATATAGCAGACTAGACTATGTGACCGTATGGCCCAAATGGCGGGGTTTAGCGGATTAATTCATATCTAGTGCAGTCCTTAAGCTCTTTATTATCTGAAAATTACCGATATGCATAAGCCATTGCAGTGATACTGTATGTACGTATATGGAGCTCGCAAGTGGAGCTCAACAGAGCCTGGCGTTCCAGTACTCCCTTGGTGTACGGTTCGGGGTGGATTGGAGAGATTTTAACATTTGATTCGTACGTGCAGAGCGCCCAAAGTTAACTGGGAGGCCGGTAGAATATATGATTCCTCCCACCTTTACTGAAACTGTTCAGTGAATCTTACAGATAAATTAGCTTTCACAATTAGTGTATATTAGAAACAAAATGATCAAGTATTACAAATTAATTGTAGATACAAATACTGATTTTTAATGTTCGAGGTCTTTTAATTATTGTAGAAAACTAATTGTGAATTATTTTAAATGTTGAAATTTGCAGAAAAAAAGTAATAGTATTTAATAATAGGAATTTCACGTGTATTATATATGTTCTGGCATGCTTCAGTAAAATATTGAATTTCAATTTTATTTAAAATAGGGATGATTTTGTTAAGAAACTATATTATTCATGATTATCAATATTCTCCTTTAGTGAATAAAAAAGTGATTAAATTTTAAATGATCCAAAAGAGATAATCATCTAAATTAAATTTAATTGCGTCTTTAAAGACGCTGTTTAACAATCAGGATTGCTGAAATTTGTACTTTGCCTATCGTACGGTATTCTAAACAATACAAGTTCTCTAAAACTGGATCTGTTTCATCAGATAAAGGGGTGGGTGCCATCTACTCTGTTAGGTCCGTTAGAAAGTTTTAACCTAAATCACTGCTCTGTCTAATGGCCCCAGAAGACTAGGTGTCCTCCACCACTCATCTGAAGAAAGGAATGGATCCATTTTTCGAAACACAGTGTTCTAGTGTTCTTTAGAATACCAGACAATGAGCAAAGTTCAAATACCCAGTGATCCCGAGTATTAAACACCATCAACATTACCATTTAGAATGGACGCTTAAGTTGGTGAGGTTCTCTTATTTAAATCTGAGATTCTGCAGGGTTTCGGATTGTCGAGATTTGCGACTAATGACAGATATGAATGATGCTGCATACATTACCGATGTAGCGCCAGTCATATGCAAGTCCGTGGAACTGACCAACATTTTCCGCAAATGTTGTGGCGGAATTTTTGCCAAGAAAAATTTTATAATAAAGCCTTTATAAATACATTTACGGTGCGAATTTGGTACGGCGATAAAACACCTGCTTCTTATTCAAGATTCGTCCGGCTCTATCCCTTACAGGGGCCAGATATTCAGAGCATTATCGTGATTATCCTAAACGTCTCCAGGTGAATGCCGAAATAGTAAATACTAAAAGAATACTGTTCGAATTCCTTAAAATTTCTCTCCTAATCATTCTTAATAATTAGGTTAGAGCGTAGCCAATTTTTATATTAATTTGAGTAGGATAAGAAGAAAGCAGTCTTCTTGGATTTGGCATCGTGTNATCCCAGAAGACTGCTTTCTTCATAGTTACCGCCATGAAAGCCTCAAATCTTACATAAGTAGGGTAAATTGGGGTGAATGGAACAATAGGGCGAATTTCTAATTAAACTTCTGTATCGATGTTACTGGTGGCATTGTGACCGCTATCACTATCAGCGTTTCTCTGGATCTTAGGGAGAGCGTCGAAATAAAAGTACGACTACTGCATTGTCAAAAGAAAGTGTTTTGAGTGATACATTTCTAGTTTTGGAGGTGGTGTTGCAGGTTAAGCTAATAATAGGCAGTTTTTAAGCATTCGTAGATGTTAACATTTCAGCTTGGGCATGCGTGTTATACTAATTTGCAGTTTCTTCTTATCGCTGGTGAAGTTATGCAGACTTCTCATATTCTGGGCCCCGAAGCCAGTCAGGCTGTCAGCAATACCAGACGTTACTACTCGTACTTATTAGCGAATCGGGTTGGAAGAAAAAGCCCATTTAGGAAATTTTAAAAGATTATTTTTTAATAAAGTTTAATTTTCTTAAATGAAATTATCAGCAATGATCCTACTTCTATTCTATACAGCGGATAACTTGTGGATGGGAAAAATACATTATTTTTTAATTGCTTGTGGGGTGGGACTAAGTACCTTGTACTGCGGTCACTTCTGGCCTATTGTGCCAGCCCCAGATGATAGGTGAGGGTGATTGTGGAGCAATTGGTGGAATGAAGATTGGCAGGGGAAACCGAAGTACTCGGAGAAAACCTACCCCAACGCCTCTTTTTCAACCATAAATCCCACTTGACCTGGCAAAAATATAAATAAAGCTCTTAAACTTTCCAAGAAGGCTCAACTAATAGTCAGGCAGCGGTCATTTTCAAAGTACCATGAATTTGTCTCCGTCGTATAATATTTGCTAATGGTATCGCTACAAAGCCACGAGGTTGCCAAGCCATATTCAGGCCTGGTGCACGAAGTGACCTTGTTGAAAATTTTTCTATCCTGTTCATCCACTGGCTTGGGGGAGAATGGGATAAGGTACAGCGTTTACGTAATTCGGATGCAATCATAATATGACTGACTACATGATCCTTTTTGAGGTCCAATACACCCGAACTTACCCTAAATTTTGTACAGTACTGTAAAAATCACCTCACAGTCCACGCATTCTCCACATGGCAGAATATATGCCATCCTGGTGATATGGCTGAGGTTCTAATATACTTTGTAAAGGGGATTCCCTTTTGTACGCGTGACGGAATTCTTAACGGTGGTCCGGCAATACTGGAATTTCCATCTAGTGTGTTTTACAGCAAAATTTTCATCACGAGAAACATGCTTCAAGGACATGGCTGTTGATTTTCGTAATTCAAAGAATGTTCATTTAATATACATCTTTTATTTTATACTGAAAACGGCCTTTTGTACTTGAAAATTTTGACTTCTTATTCAGTTCTGAAATATAAGTATAAAGATGTTGATTCTGGTATCATCTTTAAAATCATCATCAGTTTGTTCGTCTGTAGCGTTTACCTGTTTATGGAGTGACTTATTTAACTTCTTTGTCAATCCTAAATCTGATCTGTTGGTTCAAAACAGGAAGCTGGAGAGCGAAAGGAATTTAAATGCTGACATGTAAGCATGTATTTTCTGTGCTAAAATGTTTATGGTTTTTTTAATTCGCTTAGTGGGGGTGGAGTCCAACTGGGTCCACTCGGCACGGCGGCCACTGACTGGCCTATTGTAGCCTGCCCCGGGTAATTATGATGATGGAAAATTTGGTGGAATGAAGATTGGCAAGGGAAACCGAAGTACTCGGAGAAAACCCACCCCAGCTCCACTTTGTTCACGACAAATCCCACTTGACTAGACCCGGAATCGAACCTGAGCCTCGGCGGTTGAAAGCCAGCAAAATGTTTGTCTTACTTCAACGTATGTTTTGTTTTGAAGTTGTGTTCCCACATGATACAAGCTTATCTGCGTACGGCTCGGACCTTAGAGGACTATATATGTATATATCGATTCATCGTTGGATAAGGAAGCAAATAAATAAATGAATAACCTGAATTGAATTTCTCTTCCGAAAATACTGTGGAATGTACACCCGTTACTAGTCAACGACCGCGAACTAAGCAACTATTCAAATGCCGTTGTTAGGTAACGACTCCGCAAAGAAGCATGTGTCCACTGCAACAATTACACTGCAACAGAAGAAATGTGTTTTCTGTGAGGTAGGTGCAAATATATTATAAGCAGGACAAGTTAGTGGATCAGTTGGTTTGTGAGTTAGTGAATTATTTAGATAACCGCTGGGTTTCAGTTGTTGGGAGCTAGTGCTATTAGAAGCTGCTAACTGAGGTTATGGGCAGCTCGGAAACCAAAAGGAAGGGGAAAGTCCCCCGTTGAAGCAGCTACGGAGCAACGGCTAATGAAGAGTGTAGCAGACTGAGAACTTGTGTGGTTAAAAGTAGTAAGGTTTCAAAGAAATCCTATTACAAATTCTGACCCTGTCTTTAGTAACTAAAGAAAGTGATAATATATAATATTTGCAATATAAATATAGCCAGGCTTTATTTTTCTGTACTTTCATTTGTTATATAATTTTTAAAACTCGATATTGAAGGACACATACAAATGAAAATTCTCTTCGCATGAATTGCGTGTAATAACCAGCCAAGTACATATTGGCCTATCGTTTAAATTCGAATTTGGGAAGATTTCTAAGCAACACAAGATGTTTGAAGTGAATCAACACATTGACCAGACAGTCCTACTATCACTTTAACTTTACATGAAACAACGCACATTTCTTGATAGATCAGTAAGTCATTGTATTTCCTGGTATGCCCCATTCAACTCATCCCATGCTTATTAAAATGACTGCAAAACTTGTTGCAGCTCCTGCTGACCTAATTTCCAACATTTCTACTATTATCACTGTAAATATTAATTAAAATATTTCTGGAGCCTCTTGTCGTATATTTATTTTTGTATTAAAATATAAATCTTCGGTATACGAAGTTGAAATGGGCAAGAAATCGATTGCTTTTGTGTACCTCTCTATAAGCGCGCGCGCAAGTCCTCTGGATCACGGCAGAGGCACGCACGGGGGGACATCGCTGTAACAGTCGGTCTGAGAAGGTCGGAGCGTTCTGATAAGAGTCAGCGGCTGGGACCGGCAGCGGAAACAACGAGGCTTTGGAAGCTTCCTGACGTAAGGCAAATATTATTATCGTCTTCAGGAAGATTAAGCTAATTAATTTGATACATGCAATACAATTTGTAGTCAGTACTCCTCTTGTGAAATATGTTGAAACTTGCATTAAATAAATTGAAAGTTGCATGTTTACAAAAGTTACTTAATTATGCTGAGCTCATTATCTTCTTTGAGAAGCTGGGCTTAATTCATTAACAACGTAATTATAAAGCGAAATTGCATTATAATCATAAAATGTGTAAATTTTTGCGAAGTTTTACAAATGTAAGAAAACATATTTTCAGTACTAACGAAAGCCAGAAACTGGAACTTTTAACTGATGGAATAAGATCCATAATTCTGAAATTCAGAACACTTGTGTACAGCAAGTTTGTACGTAGTGTTCATTAACATCAAACCGCCAGTCGTAAAGTGAGCCAGATGATGAATAACATTCATTTGCAATGATATTAATGTATGTAGGTACAAAAGTGATGGCGTTTAAATTATTAATATTTTGCGCCAAGACAAATTCACAACAATTTAATTAATAAATCAGCAATGTTTCCGAAAATGCTAGTACATTTGTAAAGATATTTAAGAAAAAACACTAGTCGTTCAGTATTATTATTTTAACAAAGAAATTTCTTCAATATTGGATTTGAGGTTGATTATAAGAGTACTAACTATTGGGAAGTATCGCTTTGAAGTGCGTTAGAAGACCGCAGACGTTTCGGAGGAACATGCTACCTCCATCTTCAGGGGCAAATTCCAAGTCAAACAAGAAACCATTGGAGATGGTAGGTTGCTTCGAAACATCGGTGGTCTTCTACCAGGCTTCACGTCTTTACATCCAAGAAGTTAGTATTCTTCATATTTCTTACAATTTGACAGGCGAAATTATTTATTCATCTATCACTGAACGTGAATTTTTCATATCAGTGGAGTACGGGTTGTACTCATTATTTCATTAACACTTGACGAAGGAAACGGGTACAGTTCCGAAAGAAAGTGCTGTCACATTTTATGCGAGGACTCGTGTCGCATAATTCAAGACAAGTTTTGAAATAAATACGTGGTTCTTGCCGAATTTTATGGGCTTCGCATTATTTCAAACTTTGCGTAGGAAGTGAGAATATATTAATATATTTATATCGCAATATTTAAAATTCGCATTAAATGTGTTGACAGTGTATCTTGTTTAAAAATACAAGATTTTGGGTAGTGTCCATAATAATCATGTTGGATATTGCTTGCTTTTTGTGTGTTGATAACAAGGTAAGTTGTGTCAGTTGATGTATGATCTATCAAATTCTATCTTAATTAACAGTCATAAATGTAATTTTGATTTTGATTTAGATTGGTCTGTGCGAGTTCCTGCTGCATGTTAGGGTGTTCTATGTGCTTCAGTGTACAACGAAAAAGAAAATGTTTCATATAAACTTACATATCATAATAATGTATATATTTCTTATGATTAAGCATGTGATTTTATGCCTAGTTTTTAAGATATTCGGGATTTCACAAGATTTTTAACGTTCGGAGGAAAACAGATGAATATCACTTTTCTCATTTTTCATAAACGTTATGAAAATCTTAAAGATTAAGTTAGATTTCCACATACAGACGGAAGGACGATCTCTTCGTACTGATGAAATTCTAGTCATGCTCAACTCATTCTTGTGCGGTTCACATTAACATATTATTAAAAATAGTATTTTAAAGTTTTTTCAACACTGAAACAGCGCAAAGACTTTTGCATCACCACTCAGAACAGTGACACCAGACCAAAGGATAGCGTTTCGATTTTGTTTACGAACAGTACAAAAGTAACGGAGAGTTTTCATGAAATACAACATGCGTTTCTGAGGGTCTCTTGTGTACAACTTCTTAAATACTTGCCGGAGCGCATTATATTTCGAATAAAAATTGTAAAAATAACGGGATGCGCATGCCCAATATTTCCCTGCAAGTCTTGCGGTTTCTAAAGAATTAGACAACAATGATTATGCTATGAACACATTTTCTCACCTGCATATTTACACAAACGGGAAGATCACAGTCCATTAATCAACAATGGTTTTCCAAACCTACACGAAGATTACCAAAGTCTCTTGCTCTCCACAGACCTAAGAAACGAAAGAAGATTACAGAAGTACCTAAATTTACTCACTCTCTCTGTGTATTATTCTAGAGCCCTTTTGGATATTGGCCGCTTTTCAACATTTAATCCTATAAACAGTCTGTACGACTCCTTGGAAGAATGATCAACCCGTCGCAAAGTCTTTACCTACATACAAAACAACATAAATACAGAATAAATGTACACAATACAGTCATCCATGCCTTGTGTGAGATTCGAACCCACGATCCCAGTGTTCGAGTGGGTGAAGAGGGTTCATGCCTTAGACCGTGCGGCCACTGTGTTTGGCGCATAAATTTATAGTTATATTTAAATAAGAACATATATATATATATTAAATTAAAATATAATTTGGCATAAAATTATAAACATACATTTTTTATTTTTATGAAAAAATACTTTGTATACGTAAGCTTATGGTAACAGACACTTAGACATTGAAATTAGAGTTGTGTTTATAATTACTTGTGCCAAATGCTTCTCTTGAGTGCACAGTGCGTACTTTTACAGTCTTGTTTAATTCCCTCAAATCGATAACAACATGGACTCGCAAGCATGTCAGGTGGAAATGCCATTAACGCCACTTAAATTAGTCTCTTGAAATGATGCATCATATCAGACATCCTAAAATACGCAACTTTTGTTAATTTAACTTCTATTAAGTATATAATAATAAAGTGGGAACCCTTCAAATATTTCTCATAGTTCCCGGTTTGGTGTTTCAGATATTGTGGAACTACAGTAACAAATCAAAATTTTGTTCAGGGAAAAATTAAAAGCAGATTGATTTCGGGTAATGCTTCATACCATTAGGTTCAGAACCTCATATCGTCTCATCTGCTATCTAAACACGTAAAGATTTAAACATGCAGAATTTTACATTCCCTGTATTTTTGTATGAGTGTAAATCTTGGTTTCTGATCTTAAGGGAAGAACATATACCTAGACCATCTGAGGAAAGGTTTCTGATGAGAATATCTGGACATCAGGAGGATCAAAACATAGGAGGCTGGTGAAAATTACATAATAAGGAGCTTCATAACTCATATTCCTCGATAATACAATTAAAATGATTAAGTCAAGGGGAATGAGGTGGGTAGAGCATATAGCCAACATAGGAAAGAAACATAATTCACGCAAAGATTTGGTGAAAATTTCGGAAAGAAGATGCAGATATGTAGATATAGACGTAGATGGAACGATAATATTAAAATTAATCTTAGGCAAATATTACTGGGGTATGGACTGGATTAATCTGGCTCAGGATATGGACCAGTAGATGGCTCTTTTGAAGACGAAAAAGAAACTTCAATTTCCATAAAGTGTTGGGAAATTCTTACGCAACTGAACAACTGGTGGCCTCTCAAGGAGGACTGGCCTCCATGGAGTAAGTTACTTGAAGTTTGTGGCGATATATAATGATCGACTAATGATACCGATGTGCAGTTTGGTACTGTGATAGTAAACATACCTGAACAAATGTAAATATGGCGACGGTACGAAACTTTGAGAACATATCCGATCAATTTCATGAGATTTTATCTTTACTGCATTTATTTATTATTCGCAAAAATACAATAATAATAATAATAATAATAATAATAATAATAATAATAATAACTCTTTTCTCTCCTCTTGTTCCCACTTTGGAGCATAGGGCTGATTTCTCAGTTTCATGATAGCTTTACAGGTTGTAGGACTCCTTCGACAGGTGATCAGATCATCGCAAGGCCTCTACCTAAACACAGGACAACACAAACACAGAATAAACACATACACACACCAAATATCCATATATTTTGTGGAATTCGAACCCACGATCCCGGCTTCTGAGCTAGCGAAGACATTTCATGCCCTAGATCGCTCGGCTACCGTGACCGGCAATAATGGTAATAGAAATTAAAATTGTCATTGTGTTTTTAAATATTATGCCATATAGGTGCATGGGCGAGCGGATGTAGGAATCCACATGTTCATGACATCAGTACTAGTTGAAGCAATTTGTTTTTAAGTCCGAAATTTATAAAGCGCACTTAAATGTAAAAATGTCGAACGTTGCCAGTAGGCCTATGTACACATACACGCACGTATTCAAAATATTACGAATTCATTTGAAATGTTCTATAATTTTACGGACTCGTTCATTTTGGAAAGGTCACATATGTTTAGATTTCACTTAAAGAGATGTGTACATAGTGAAATTATACACATGTCGATGTCAGGTCCGACAAGGCTGCCATCTGTACGATCATTTCCCTGAGAATACCAGATTTCACATCGTCTGTATGTTTTGAGATTTTAACTTTTCATAATTCCGCACATAGTCTGTTTGACAAAATCCAACGTTCATTATTACTACGTATTACGTTACTTACTTACTTACTTACTTACTGAGCTAAACCCTTTTTGAGGAGCCGCCAAATCTGCAGCTACTCAAGAATTTCCCAGAATTTTATGGAATCCGAAGGTTCATTACCGTGTTCACAAGAGCACTCCACTGGTCCCTATCCTGAGCCAGATCAATCTAATCTATACCATCCCATCATATCTCTCTAAGATCCATTTTAATATTGTCCACCCACCTACGCCTTGGTCTTCCCTGTGGTCTCTTTCCTTCTGGCTTTCCCACCAATATCCTATATGCATTCCTCTTTATCTCATTCGTGCTACATGCTGTGCCCCTCTTATCCTCCTTGACTTGATCATTCTAATTATACATGGAGAAGAGTACGAGTTGTGAAGCTCCTCATTATGCAGTTTTCTCCAAACTCCTGTCACTTCATCTCTCCTCAGTCCAAATATTTTCCTTAACTCCCTGTTTTCAAACACCCTCAGTCTATGTTCCTCCCTTAATGTCAGAGACCAAGTTTCACACCCATACAGAACCACAGGCAAAATTATGGTATTTTACATTCTAATCTTTATGATTTTGGACAGCAGACGAGAAGACAAATGGTTCAGGACTGAATGCTAGCAAGAATTACCCGAGTTCAATCTCCTCTTAATTTCCTCCTGAATCAGGTTTTGATTTGTTATCGTTGTCCCCAAATGTGTACGAGTATTACTACGCATTTGAGATATTTAAATGATATTACGAGCACTTTGAAAACGCTTTTAATTTTTCTTCTCGTTTCGGACACTAGAAAAGTCTCTCACTGGGATTCTTCGTACCCCCTTTTGAAGACAGATATAACAAATTAAATATCAAACAAATGTATACATTTTTCCTTCTACAGTTACAAATAAAATATTATTATTCTGTGCTGATACAAACTTTTCATTTTAGTAGGCCTGGTGTGTTTTCTGCACGTAACCTTTCCTTCTGCAAGGTTACATGTTAAAGTAATGTGATGAATATGATCGTTGCTAGACAACGGTTCGGTAAATATATTTCCAAGGTTAGGCAGTCGAAGGTGGGAACTCCGTTGCTGGGTAGCAGGTCGATAGGCATATTTCGTAGTAACGGATAAACCACAGTAAGAAAGGAATACAAGAACCTCTATTCGGTTCTCCTGGAAGTCAGTTCGGGTCAGGAGAGTTCAGTGGCAAGAAATTCTTCGTTCGACATTCGCCACAGAAGAAGAGAAGATACTCGTAGTCCAATAAGGAATGGAACACGTCATAAACAGCCAAGGATTGTGAGCTGTTATAATTGATTGTAATTGTAATAGAAGTGCCAATCAATCCAGTCATCCAATCCAGAATCTGTTGTTATTAGTCACGGAAACCCTTCATACTTGAAAGTATGTTCTTGCAACCTAAGCGATTTGGCCAACAGAATTAAATATTTCAGTAATTTGAAATTTTACGATTACGAAGTTTGCGACCAGTGTGAAGGAAGACCATGGTCATCCACTGTTTGGTGCACAGTTCAGTCATCATTTAAATGAAGGACAGCCTCCGATATATGCAGCTGTTAGTAGCAACCGTGTTTCTATGTATGAATGCCCTGAAGGAAGTGGGATTAGGTTACTGCAATGCTATGCTAATCCTGATGTATCCTAATATGGAGTATCGGCCGCACCATAGCTCAAGCGGTTAGTTGCTGGCTTCCCACCGCGGCGGCCCGGGTTCGAACCCGGGTCTGGTCAAGTGGGATTTATGGTGGACAAAGTGGCGCTGGGGCGGGTTTTCTCCGAGTACTTTGGTTTCCCCTGCCAATCGTCATTCCATCAATTGCTCCACAATCACACTCACCTATCATCTGGAGCTGGTACAATAGGCCAGAAGTGGCCGCAGTACAAGGGACTTAGACCCACCCCACTAGCAATAAAAAATATATAAAGTGTTTTGTCTCTTGTCTGGTCTTATGTGGAAACTGGATAGTAGAACAGGTTAAAGGAAATTTATGTTAGAAATTATGTTAGGAAATTTATGTTCAAATTGTGAACTTTTCCTTTCAGATATCTGAATCTTCCTAATGAATGTGTAATTTGGAGAATTTCATACGGACGTAAAGCTGACAACTCACCTCCAACTAGTGCCGAGGTCAAGAAAAATTGTGAGTCTATACATTCACTCCCCCATATGCCTTCAGGCATAATGCTTAATTAGTTAAGCACAGGAACAACTTTACTTTGCGATCACACATAAAATGAACATCAGATGAACTAATACTTCGAAGCTGGAGGCTATTGCTTTCTGTAACTTCAGAGCTATAAGAATAAGTCGCTTGTTTAGCGAATGGAAAGCGGGGGGGGGATAGGAAATCCGTGTGTGCGGCGTGAAGCGCATGGAAACTCGTGTCTTCCAAAATGGAGGATTTATGATAAGATGGCGCTAGGAGGCAACGGGTTCCTCCGTAATATTAGCAGATTTCTGTCCCACAAAACAATAATATTTACAGTCACCACTACCATAATTTCAGATCCAAAATTTTATATTTTCCAAATGAATGCTGATATTTGCTCCAGGAAATCCAGATGAAATTTTCTTATAGGTTGTAAAGCCATGTAATTCGGTGTAAGTCTACTGATGAGGATCATATTTCGTCCATCATCAGGGTCAGAGAATGATCCATGGGTGAAATAAGCAAGAAATAGACGATAATCAGAGATAGGTGAACTTTGCCAAACTACACATCCTTACAGGCCAGGAGAATATACTCAATACAGTTACCGCTTTGAAAGCCTCAACCCCCTCCCCCCCCCAAAAAAAAGAACTCCGTGGTTTTAGTCTGCAAGCGAACTATACTGACCGAGCGACCGCCGCTTGTCGGCGAAGTTAGTGCCAACTTTAGTGGATAGAGGGTGCTGCGTTGTCAGAGGAAAGAACCCCCACGGCCTTTAATTTCGGTTTTCTAGAACCCAAGAAAATACAAATTATATTTCTTGTAAAAACATTGTATTCTTCTGGGAAACTCATTTATTCTGCACAAATAAATATAACGAGCTCAATGTTTGTCTAGTGCCGCCCGGGGGCAGTACATTTCGATACTGTAGCACTTTCTGTTGTGTTAACATTCTGTTCTCCTTCAGCGGAGTTAATCTCTTTCAAAAATAAAATTGAATTTGTAGCAGACGCGTGCCCATCTAGCAGTAGATAGGTGGACAAAATTAAAATGTATCTTAGAGAGAGATTTATTTTTTTATTGCTAGTGGAGTGGGACTAAGTCCCTTGTACTGCGGCCACTTCTGGCCTATTGTACCATCCCTAGATGATAGGTGAGGGTGAGTGGGGAGCAATTGGTGGAATGAAGATTGGCAAGGTAAACCGAAGCACTCGGAGGAAACTTGCCCCAGCGCGACTTTCTCCACCACAAATCCCACTTTACCAGACCCGGGATCGAACCCGGGCCGCCGCGGTGGGAAGCCAGCGACTAAACTCTTGAGCTATGGCGAGGCCTTAGTTAAGCACTAACTTCAATTTCAAAACAAACATCGACGATAATAAGCCTTAGCAATTTGGTGACATAAACTTAACTCGTAAACTTCCCTGCAACGTACTTCATGACAGTGTTTATTCTTTCTGTTTGTAGTGGCATGTTCTTCTTCCTCAGAGTTAATACGACGCCTGAGTTCTAAACGAAATTATATTTTTCTGCTGATTACAGAAGTTCTTATGAGGCTATGAGACTATATAATAGGGGGCAATATCAGAATGCAAATGAACAAGAACGGAACTTCTGTTCACAGAATCTTAGCCTCTTACTAGTAATAATAATAATAATGATAATAATAATACGCCGGTAAATTACCCTCTCAGTGACGCTACACAAACTCCAAATTTTGACCCAATTCCTCAGAATTCGAAGAAATTTAACATATTCTTTATGATTTTAACAAGAGTCCACGGTGAAGTTGTTCCTTATTAAGGGATTGTTGCAAGCAACAAGACCTGCACTTTTAGATTATTTGACTTATATATTAATTAATTAATTAATTAATTAATTGTACTTCAGATCTCGTAGATTAGGCTGACATGTACTGATCCAGAATTGGTTCTGAAAGTAGGAATCATTCAGGTACTTTGTAGGAGCCCTTAGGTAGTTAAATATTTTGCCTGTGGATTTGTATGGGTCTGAGACTTGATCTCTGACACTAAGGGAGGAACAATGACTTGAGGGTGTTTGGGAACAAGTATCTGAGGAGGATATTTGACCAAAGAGAGATTAAGTGATAGAAGGTTGGAGAGAACTGCATAATGAGGAGCTCCGTAACTTGTATTCTTCAACAAGTAAAATTATATTGAGAAATGAGTATAAGATTTTGGTGAGGAAGCCAAAGGGAAAGAGACCACTAGGAAGACAAGAATGTAGATAGGTAATAATGTTAAAATGGATCTGAGAGAACAGAATGGTTGTACAGGCTGGATTATTCTAGCTTAGTATAGGGATCAATGGAGGGCTCTTATGGTCATGCTAATAAATTTTCATGTCAACAAAATACGTTGGGAAATTCTTAGTAGCTGGATCACATTACGGTTTCTCATGAAAGGCTCATCTCCGTAGTGTTAGTTAGTCCTTGGATAGGGGATCAGTCCAAGCAAGACTGTACCTACACAGGGGAGAACAATACATACAAGAATATATCAGTATGTAATATTATTAATTGAGTCTATCGATATATTTTCATTGAGACTAGGAGACGTGCCATGATATACACACTAAGTTTCATAAAGAATGATTTAGGCATTAAAAAGTTAATAAAAGGAGGGAAATATTCATGTAGACGCATACTGAAACAGGAAGGTGCTTTCACGTGCCTATTTTTTTTTCGAAATAAGGAAAGTAGGCTAAAAAGGAATTATAATCCCGGATTTTATTTAATACGTGGAATCCGATGTATGTCAGTCGAGTAAACCAGCTATAGGCGAATATATTACGACTTCTGTCAGTTATACAATTATTACAAAGCGTGCTCAAATTTCAAAGTAAAAATTTGATACTTTTCGAATCTAGCAACCGTTCCCCCCCCCCAAAAATCTTCCATTGGTCCACTCTATACATTGTAGACATTGAGGGACACGCTCAAGTCGTGATTTCACCGAATACCTCTATATGAATTTTAGGTTGTAAGCTTAAATTTGTACAGAATAAGTAACAAAATGCTGAAGGTTCTTTTTTTAGTTTAGTCCTAAGTATACAGGCAACAGGGGTGCTATACGTAACTTGAAGATTCAGTACAAAAGATGCCTCACAATACTTTCACCGAACCATTCTCTTATGAATCAGCTTCTGCCTCGTCTTTTTCTGTTGAAAAATGAAGAAAACAACATAAATGTTACTCTGTAAGCAGAAAAAAATGTGAGGAAAGCTTCAATAGCGATTGCCAGAAGAAATGCGTACGAGTGAAGAGAAGTAAAACGACAAAGTATAGAGAGCGAATATATTTCATACCTCCTTTTCTCTTTACAAACAAAATGCGAATCGGAGATATGAGTGTTTGCTACTCAGAAACAAGAAAACTTCAACAAAGGATCATGTACAGTTGTAAGAACCTGAGAGCATTTGTGTCTCGAAACGAAGCAGGAGCCCTTCCGAAAAGGATTTCTTTTTGAATCCAGCTTTTGTTCTGTGATGAACTGGTATTCTAGGCTTTTAACGGCTCTATTTTAACTTCAAAGGAGCAGGAGTAGCTTAGTCGGTATAGCGACTGGTTACGGGTTGAACGACTAAGGGGTCGGGGTAGGAGTCCCGATGGGGGCAAGAATTTTCACGTCTCCATCTCACCTACCCAGACTCCTATCCAATTCTTACCTGGAGCTTTTTCCCTGGGCGTAAAGCGGCCGGGGTGTGAAGCTGACCACTCAACCTCCAACTAGTGCCAAGATCAAGAAAACATGGGTTTATACATTCGCTCCCCCATACGTCTTCATGGTGTAGTGCTTAATTAGATAAGAACAGGGACAGCTTTACCTTTACCTATATTTTAACTGCAGACTTAACAAAGAATCGACAGAGAAATGAATGGTGCTTACGAAATTGCTTGGAATTAAGCAAGGTATGTTTTAAGTTATCCCAGAATTTATCTGAAAGAACTTAGGAAACCCGAGCAACGACCTCAATTAGTGTTACAGGTTCCTTGAATCTCTATACTAAAATACTCCGCCGAAGGTAAACTTAAGCATGTTCCTAAGTTTTCCAAACTGATAACGTACAGATGGCATGGAAATAAATTGTCGTGCATTTTTAACCTCGAACCTGAATGAAGATGAATATTATGCTTTACTCTCCTGCCATTTTACCACTGAGGAACTTCCTGTCTTCGTACAAGAGAAAGCTGAACGTATTCCACAGCTTGGGACTGCATGTGATGGCAAAGATTCGAGTACCACCGTTGTCAGGTATCGACACTGGTAATCAGGGAGTGCATTAGGACGCGCGGTCTAAGGCATGAACTTTCTTCCCCCGCTCTAACACTGGGATTTTGGCTTCAAATCCCACTTGAAGCATCAATGTCTGTGTTTGTGTTGTCTTGCGTGCAGATAGTGGCCTTGCGAGGGGACGGGCTGATCCCAGAGAAGGAGCCCTACAGACTGTGTAAAAGATCAAGAAACTGAAAAAGCGGCCAAGACCCATAGAGGGGCTGTAGAGCCGTAGGTGGGTGGGTAGGTAGGTAGGTAGGTAGATTAGGAACAATCATAAATACGCACTCGTGATCAATTTTGAAACTAAACATCTGAATGTGTTTATGATTTCGCAGTCGTAATATGTTTGAAATATTTTCCATTTTTCACAAAAAGCGAAAACCATGGAACGCCTTAAGCCGTTCGGCGACCCGGCAGAAATTCACGAAAACAAGTGAGAGCTTTTACTGTCTGAGCCAGCTTGCTCGTAGGTAGGGATATGGTATTCGATTATCTCAATATAGGATACTGATACTGAGATACTGATCCAAATTCAGGAAACTTTCAATTAGAACAAATATCTCCAGTCCACATTGGAGCGGGTTAGTCCACCGAATGAAAGTAGCATTCACTGCCACCGGAAGGTGAAACTCTCTTGAAAATAAAAGAGAATGTAATTTATGCATCACTAATTTTAAGACCCAGAAAAATATG